TTCAGTTTTGTGGATTTTGTGTTGTGATTTCCTTAAAAGCCAAATGTATATTTCACTTTATTTTTAAAAGAAGGTGTAGATGGAGTAAATGTTTGTTTTCCCTACTTATGATGGCTCTGTCCCTCTACAGTAATTTTTGATCATGTAACTCTCCCTTGTCTTTGGATTCTGTTGGTTTATGCATTTGTATTTGAGTTTTGAGCACCACAGCCAGTGATTAGGATCTCAAATGACCCGTCAGAATGATAATAGAGTCTGCCAGGCTCCCCTGTGGAGTTAATCACAGACAGCAGATGCATTAGTGCTGCAGCAGCCTGACACTCTCTAGATGCAGGATTGCAGAATTACTGCTCCTCACAGTCTTGTATTTCTGGCTTTTAAGGAATTCCTCCTTAAACATGCACAGCATTTTTCAGTCTTGACACATTATGTTGTGCAAACAGATTGGTGTGTTGTGTGTGTGTGTGTGTGTGTGTTTGTGTGTGTGTGTGTGTGTGTGTGTGTGTGTGTGTGTGTGTGTGTGTGTGTGTGTGTGTGTGTGTGTGTGTGTGTGTGTGTGTGTGTGTGTGTGTGTGTGTGTGTGTGTTTTGCACATGAAGGTGCTTTATATAGTTTTATTTAAGGGTGCATAAAGGGATGATGGTGACTTGGTGTGCTTTGATTAAAGAAATACATGTGCTGACAGTTTTCATATTGATGCGTGACCTTTCCTCATGAGATCAATAGTGATTTATTCTTCTGAAAACCAGATACACTTTTTTTTAATACTGTTTTCACGACCATCAGCAAAATTTAGTTATTTTTACTTTACTATAGTACTCCTGATAGTTAGTAAAGTAGGTTCAAGTTAGTTCTTGTAACAAGTAAACTCAAATATAAACACCCACATTTTCCTTGTTTTTCCGAAATTATTTAACCTGACCATCATTTTCCACTCAAAATCTTCAGAGTAAAATAATAGCTTACAATAACAGAGTAATTATTTTTTTTTATAAAACGTTTAATAGAAGCATCGCTCCAAAAAGAGCTGTTCAAATCATCAGGTAAAAAAAAAAGTCACATCATGTCATGTTTTTTCATTATATTGCAGCTCTTGTTCAAAAAGAGAACATTTTGCTTCTTGATTTCACTGTACCCTTAAGCTCCAGTAGTGCTCCCGTCTTCCCAAACCTCGTTGTGTAAAGCCACTGCTGAGAGTTTGATGATATGTTTCAAGCCAGCGTGTAATGCTCTGTCCCAGACGCAGCCAAGTGCTGGATGGGGAGATTATAGTCTGGCTCGTGCTGACACTGACAGTGGTGGGATGCAGCCTTTCTTCCTCTCTGTGCAGAGCTGAAATCACTCTGTCTGGATAATCACTATTCAGTTTATGCCTGTCATCAACTGTCGTGCCCCCCTCTCTCTGCTTCTGCCAGCTGAAGATGCTCAGGTGGCACACTGCCCATCCTAAAAACCAAGATAAGACACAAATATCTAGGTGGTCTTCTCACATTTGGAATCTGGCATGTAGGGCACATCATGGTTGGCTCATCCTAAATAACAATGGCTCTCTTTTCACAGTTGGGCTTGGCAGCTGGTTTAAAAGTAATAGATATAAACCTGATAATAGAGATGAGGAAGGTCAACTGTTGTGATTTTTCAACTCACTCACTCACTCACTCACTCACTCACTCACTCACTCACTCACTCACTCACATTCAGGCTTAAGCCTGGTTTATACTTCTGAGTCAAGTGATCGGCGTGACCCACGGCACATGCATTTACTTCTGCACGCTGTTTCTGTTGCTCTGCAATAACAGTTCGGAAACACTAAGTGGCAGTGAGGTGTTTATGTTCCTCTGTGTCGAGTTTCTTCGCTGGTGTTTTATTTTTTCTGAACACTTCCTTAATGTACAAGTTTTTCAAACTCTCTCATTTTGAGGCATGAACTGGTGGAAGTGCAACAACTTTAACCATTAGGTAAACACAAAACAAAACTTTCCATCCGGAGCTTCTTCACAGGACTTGGAAACAATCGGTCCATCGGGCTCGTGCAGCTCTCTGTCCCGCTCATACTTATCAGCAATACCAAGCCGACCAATCACAAAGCTTGCACTACGTGTCGTTGCAACGTGTACTTACATTTTTTGAGAGGTGCGCTTCAGGAACACTGATGGCCATGGCGAGGGCTTTGAGTCAACGCGTAGGCCGTGCCATAGCATACGTGTGCGCACGTGTAAATCAGCCTTTAGTCTCTACTTTTTCATGAGTCACCACAACAGAATGAACCAGACAGATGCCCTTGATGCCCTTCCTTCCTCAACCCAGCACTGACAGTACAAACGTCAGTTCTGGGAAACACCCACACTCTCTCCCATTCACACACTACTGCCAATTTGGTTTATGCAGTTTACCTATACCTCATGTCTTTGGAAAACACATTCTAACTTCTGACTCGTTGTTTTACTACTCTTGGGGTCCTCCCGTGCTTTTGTTTGTTTGGATAATTTATCCAATTAAA